TCAGGATTGTCTGGTTCTCCTGCAAAGAAAGCTTCTCCAGTTTGAGGGGGAGATTGTTTTCCCTTGTGAAACCTGAAAACTGATGAGCAAGTACATCAAGCCACCAGGCTGGAACTGGGTCTTCTCTTTGGCCTGAGAGGGGAGGATATTCACAAGTACTTGGCTGGACATTCAGTGGACTTCACAGCTGTGTTAAAGGGAGAGCAAGAGAGCAAGTCACTGACTCTTGGAAAAGTGGATTATTGTATCCGTTGAACGTGGTATCTGACTTATTTCTAATATCTGAGGCTGTGTTCTGTATGCATTCAAGGCATGGAGTATTCCAGAGCTTTTCCAGGAATGGGATCAATGGGGTAACACTTGATCAGCAAGAGCCCCCCTCGATTTCTGCTGCCTGCTTCGGAGGCATTTCACAGCCTTTCTTGAATGAATACTCTCAGATGCTGATTAGCAGAGCCACTGGAAGGCCTGGAGAGCATCAGATGTTCCTAAATGCTGAATTCCTCTCGGTGTCAACTGGACAGTGTGTGAAGACCTCACAGTGCAGGAATGAATTCCTTCTTTCATCTGCTTTTCCACTTGTTTTTTCCATAGTTGAGAAAATTCTGAGGTGGAGTTGGTTAAATGTAGGCGCAAGGGTTGCATTAAACTGGTGAGAAGTCCAGGCTTCATTTCATCAGATATGAAACAGTCATCTAAAATTAGCCACATCTCCTAACCCAAGTGTGGCCTTTATGTTTGTTTATGTTAAGTAGTTCCACATTGCAGCAATCCTGCCTTTCTGAGGTTGGTCTGGTGGAGCTGCTACGAAGTAGAAAGAGTGGTTGTCGGGGTACATTTTTGTTAATGGCGTAAGTTGGGTCTTTCGTTAACTATGATATTCATCTCTGTTTCTCTATGTAAATGTGTAGTCAGGCTTTCAGTAAAAGGGGAAATAAAATCTTTTGGCTCTTTCGTGAATTTCAAATGAATGGCCATCCAGAAATGTAAGGACTTTGACTTCCTGATGGATTGGGTTTACAGGTTCCTAGACCTTCTACCTTTAGGCTCTGCTTTACTTCGATCTCCTGGGTTCTAATGTGGAGATTGACAGATGCAAACAATCTCTTTAAGAAGTTTGGTTCCTGTGAAACAATTGCAGTGGGTTTTCAAGGAGCCAGCCTGTCTCAGCACCGAGCTCTTACTTAGTAGAAATCTGGAGGGGTGTAGGATCACCCATGGTGACCCTTGCCTGCGTCATTCCAGGCAGGCCTTGGCATGCTCCTGCAGATGAGTAAGGACAAGGGCAATTGGCAGGAGGACCCGCTGAGTTCATCTTGCTTTGTATCTGAAGAACTGGCCTGACCTTGTTCCATCATCAGTGTTTGGGCATTCAAGAAAAAAAGGACCATCGCTGAGGGGGCCTGGAGATTGTGTTGGGAGCAGTGTGCCCTTCTCCTGGGAAGGAACACTCGACTCCGGCAGAGACCACATATGAGGGAACATAGGAGTGTTGGGAGGCCCATGAAGACCTTGGCAGTGAGGAACATGGTATGTGCTGGAAAGAACACAGATCTCAGAGCCAGAGAGTTGCTGTGTGACTTCGAGTAAATAATCTCTGATCTTCACCTTGCTTATTTGGGGGAAAAAACCCACTTTGTAAGCTTCTTGTGGGGAAAAAATGAGATCATGAATATAAACTTTTGGTGCAGAGCCTGGCATAATGTGGTCACATAAAAATACTAATTCCCTTTTCTCCCATCCTAAGTTTTTATAAAACACTTCCTATAGACAGGGCACTGTTAAACAGTGACTCTCTGATTGCAGGTCAGTACACACTGGATTCCACATGAAAACCCTGTGGAGAGGCTTGAAGCCTGTATTGGTGGGATTGATAAACATTTAACTTCTTGTCTTTAGGGGCTGAGCAGTATCTTTTATTGTGTAGTGACTTTTAAAAGGCAGTCACCTCTATGAAACATGACTCCAAAATCCGGTAAAGGGGAAGAAAAGTACCTCAACCTCTGTTTGCTCTTTCTTGAACATTTTGTAATAGATGATTTATTAAATTCCTTAGAAGACGTTCTGGGTTTTTGTTTTGTTTTAACTGGTTTTACAAATAACTCCTTTAAAAGAAAAATCTGGCAGTTCCCAAGAATAGTGTGGATGGGAGATACTTGGGTGACCAGAATCCCAAAGGCCATACAATGTCCATGACTCTTACAAGCCCCTTTCACTGCCCCTAGTCCAGTGTGCCATTCCTTATGTTAGTACTCAACAAAGCTTTGTTGACTGTTTTCAGGGAAAAAGACCTTAGTTAAAATTTAGCCAAATCAACTTCAAGGACCAACCAGAGGTTTGTCTGATTAATTATTGTATGGGACTAGAATAGAAGTTACAGAAAGGCAAGCTCAGGGTTTCCCTTGTTCACCTGTATCATCAGTACCTTGCACAGTGCCTGGGGCAGCTGTACATAGTTAATAAGCATGTGTTGAGTGAGTAATCAGACCCAGCCCTTTCTAAAAGGTCATGTTGTACCTACACATCTTCTCTAAATACACCTGGATTTCTGAAACCTCACGTTGTCTCTTAGTGTCTTCTAAACCATGATTGCTACTCCAAATATCAGTAGACATTCAACATTCAACTTCAGTAACTGGAGGCTTAGCACCAACATTTTAATTTAAAAATGAGAGTTAATATAGGTTTTTCATCAAGGGAAACTGCCCAACTCTACAAACCATATGAAATATTTTAGAAGCAAGAATGTCAGATTTGTAATCTAGGTTAAAGAAGCCAAGGAGAGTGTGATTGTTGATAGTTTACTAGTATGATCCTGAATGACTCCTCAGGGCATTGTAAAGTTAGATTTTGTAGAACTGAGTCTGAAACTTTGGAGAGGAAAAATTCAAACTCAGGAATACGCGGCAATTCAAGGCCAATGGTTCTAGAGGAAACTCATTTGTAGTTTTATATGGGAAGACAGATCTTTTTCCAATACTTTATTTGACCTATTAAGTCTAAATGGATTGTGGCATGTATTTTACGGGGTAAATTGGTGTCATGGAAGCCTCAAGGAATATAGGGATAAACATTAGAGAAAGAAAAGATGAGTATATAGCGTGTTCTATCAATTTAACAGAATTGAAAGAATGAAGCAGTGCAACCAGGACCATAGTACATTTTTTTGAAGATAGTCAAGCAGGGTCAGACACCTTTGACTTGAGTTCTTGAATGTTTCAGTGGAATGATTTAGACCATTGGAAGTCTAGTATATGCAGAAGCCTTCTAGGTATGAGGTGACCTTGCAGAATTAAAGAAACCCATGGTTCCTGCTAGTTCCAGCCTCACTGAAGGACATACTCTGAAGAGCCAGCTCAATAAGCAAGCTTTTGAAGGGTGTGCGCTGCAGAGCAGTTTCCTGTTATTTGGTTAATGGTTGACCTAGTTCTATTGCCATATGCTTCCTGGAACGCATTCTAATATAAAGTATGTGTTAAAGCAAGACTAGGATAATAGCAGGAAAGTCAAAACCTTTCTGAAGCCGAGACCATATTAATGCAGGCCTGGTGAGGGCAGAATAGTATGTGGAAGGAAAATGAAGAGACTTTTCTCGTCGTGGTCATGTTTACTAATTGTGATCTTAGTCCTCACATGTCATCCCAGCCCATTCCAAAGAGTTGCATTTCCCCAAAGTACCTTGCACATGAAGCCTGCATCATGAGTTCATGTCTTGTGCGTAGGAGGCCGAGTTCGAGGTGGAAGTAGCCTGAGTAAAATTATTAGTGCAAGGAATGATTAGATTAGATTTGGCTAATGGCAGGTGATTGTGTTTTTGTATTATTAATTTTGTATTGCCAACAAGGGATTAGTAAATCTCTTAGTCTGAAGTTTGGATGGAGTCCAGAGCTGAAGACTGAGACTTCTTTGACTTATTTGTCACTACCTGGAATCCGCAGCCTTGGCTTGTTCATTTAGATGGATAGGGAAGCCCACACAATCATGGGGGCTGCTGAGCAAACTTTGCACCAGACACACAGTGTTTGTTTTAACAGCTTCAGAATGCAAAGAATCTGTGGGGTCTAGTCTGCTAATTGCTGGATATTTGGGTGTAGTGGAGGAAGCTGTCCTGTTCTCTTCATCACCTATAAAGAAAATGTAGGAGGAACCACAAATGTGTGGGATGGGAGGGGATGGGGTGGACAGATCCTTTTAAATTTTTTTGTTTTTTCTTTAAAAAAAAAAAAAAAGTCCCCACAATTGTAGTATGGAGTGGTGATTTCTAAACCAGGCTGATCCTCAGAATCATTCTGAGAACTTGAAAAGGAGGTTATTAAAAATAGATTTTTAGGTTCTACCACAGGAGAGGGATTCAGTAGGTCTAGGGTGGGACCCTAGAAGACAGATTTAGGAACCACAGTTCTTGGGAATTCAGTATCATTAGGCATGCAGGAGAGGAAGCAGCCGCTGCACTCTGATGTCTCACATGCAGGAAGTAGGAAAAGGAAAAGAGATGCTGTCAGAACTAGATTGTAGCTGCTAATAATTTGAGCTATGGAGCAGGCTTTCGTCTTTTCTACCCCAGGAATTCAGTACCTCCAGGGCACCTTAAGGGTACTATATACCAAGCGATTTGGGTTTAGGAAATGTCATCTTGGTGGCAGGCATTTACTATGCTCTACCATCACCACCATCCCCCTCTGCCCCGTCACCTCCCTCCCACCACCGAGACAGTGTTAGCAGAATACCTGTCATTCATCAATTAAATTGGATGCAGGTTTTCATATTAACACCTCTGGCAGAAACAAAGGGAAGTTATATTATGTTGATTTCTGTATACAAAAAAATTGCAACTGGTCCGTCCAACCAGCTTCTGGGTATTGTTGTTGTTTTTTTTTCCTATAAACAATAAAGAGATGCACTTGTTGACCGAGGACTTTCTCCATATGGCTCTCTGCCTGGTCTGGTTTGAAGCTGTTGCCTCTGATACTGGGCCACAGCGTGCTGACCCATTTGTGAATCAGACTGACCTTGACTGCAGAATCACCCTGACCTGGGGTCTAATAGTGTTCCTGATAAGTAGTTGATCTTCAGTGTGTAATTAGTGGATGAGTAAATGGCTGAACCAGCTAAGTAAACATTGCCTCAAAAGATACATGTCACTTGGAACAAAGATGCTTCTTCAAAACAATGTGTGTGGTCAATATAACCTTTTTAGGATGCTTTCTGCATTAATCACAACAAAAAAGAAAATGACCTTGTTTCAAAAGTTGACATACCAGACACTTTGGCTTCCTAAGAAAATGCAGAGACATTATCTCTTTTCTTTATATATTGTCTATCCCCCAAACAGCTATCACCACTAGTAACACACACACACACACACACACACACACACACACACACACACGCACACATCCTTCATGCATGAAAGAGAGTGGCTGCAGAACTAATACTGTTAAGGATATTTGATGTTTTTTCTCCGTTCTTCCTTTGAACTTTAAAGATGTCAGGGAGTGAGAAGAAAGTAGAAGAGAGGAAAATTGAGTAGAAAGAAGAAAGTTGAGGTAATTTCTCTTATTGACAGTAATCTGTTCGGAACAGAAAAGAGTGGTCATGGCCTAAGAACTCATGGTCATGTCCTTGGCATGCTTAGAAGGTCCAAGAATGGGAGACAGTCTCTTCAAGTTATTTTGAGGAGTTGGACACGACCTACTAGGCTTCTAACGCTTACCCAAGTTAAGAGGTTGAAGTGCCTCCAAGGCTTTAAGTAGCAGCTGAACATGTGATCTTGTTAACCCTGGGATGTTGCTGAGAAGTGACTCAGATCACTGTGGCAAACGATCCTGTCCTGTTCCAGCTGCTCCAGCAGCAATAGCATTAGGTCATCCTTTAGGCATATGGTACAGAGCTCATGCTACCATCAAGACTTTAGAACAAGGACAGCTTGAACTGGCTATCCTGCATGGGACTGGTGTTGAGGACGGCTTGGTGTTTTGGACCATCTGATTCATAAGTGTTTCCAGTTCCTACCTCCATCCCTGACCCTACTCACAAAAACCACTCGAAGAGAAGGGGAGGATACCAGAGATAGTCATGAGTTCTCACGATGACTTGCTCTTTGGATGTTTCCTCATCTAGGTAGACTGAGGCTTTGGTTTTCCCCAGGAAAAGGTAAAGTACGTTCAAAGTAGCTTAAAAGATGTGTGATGTCTATTTTAAACAAAGTAACAGACTTGAATAGTTTGTATTTTACTAAATCATAATCAAGTGGTCACTCATATCCAAGAAGCTGGTTTGCTGGCCTTACCATGAAAGGAGGTAGCTGCATGATGAGTCATTGAATATGACTGATTTAGTACAAAAGAAAAATAGGGGTGGGGTGGTAAGAAGGGGGGTTGAGATTGTTACTTACCCAGACTACCCTTTAAGCTTCTCTGTCTTTTCATGATCCCAGTATGTTTATGTAAATCCAAAATTACTTTAAAGCTTGAAATGCCTTTCTGTTCAGCAGAGCGAATGTGCTACCTACTTCAAAAGTTGATAATGACACCAGGGTATCCAGCTCTCAGAACTCCAGCCACTGCATGTTGTCATAATACCAGATCCCAGTTTTATTAATAAAATGTCGGGGTGCTGCCTTGAGGATCCACACATGGTCAGCGAGCACATTCTAAAGCTTGATGCATGGGTACACAGCAGTGTCAACTACAAAGAACTGAAGGAGAAAGGGTCCAAAAGGCAGGGAATGTCAAGTCACTAGCTATAGTCAAAGAAATGAAATCCCAGGCTAGAATGGACCCATGAAATATTCCTGCCCCACCTCTTCATTTCGTAGCTCTGGAGAAGCTAACGTGGTGTGTCCAAAGTCTGCATTGTAAGAAGTTAGTCAGGGAGGCCTGAAATGGAATTTCAGTTTCCTGCCTTGGCCATCTCTGCTTATTCCACTACAGCAGTGTTGGCAAATAACTTCTACTTCTTGTGCCAATTTTGATTGATTGGTGGAGACTGCCTGGAGCTCCACTTTGAGGACTCTGTGCCTTGTCTGGGCTTGTTGGAAAGGCGTGTGGAGATCAAGCAGAGACGGCTGCAGTAGGCGGGAGAGGGTGAGTGATAGGCGGTGGCACTTGCCCATAGTTGCTGTCCCTTACAATTATGTGTTTTAAAATCACAGCCTTACTCCCTACCAGAACGCTTTCTCACTTGGTGGTCATGAAGACTTCCTATTTCCCAATGTTTTAAACCAAAGAAGAAGATATTTAGTCAGGAGGAAACTCTCACTCAGAATAGCTATCCAAGTGACATACCCAAGGTAACTAAGTTGTGAAGTAGCCATTTGAACCAAGAGGGTTTTCACCGTGATTTTTATCAATTAGCGTGAAGGGTTTTCTTTCTGTATTGTTCGTGGACTCTAACCTTGATATCAGGGAGTCATTCAGCTCCCTTTTTCACTGTCACCTTCTTACCTGTTTTACATGTCGTCAGTAGTTTGCCTTTCATTGCCTACATGCTTTGTGGGACCTCGCGGACTATCTTCCTACTAAACCCCTTCCCTTTGTTGATGATTTGGAAAGGTCCTGAACTTGCCCAGGGTCATGAGCTAAGTTGTAGAAGAGAGCGATGCTAGACACCTAACACCCTGACCATCACTGCTCCAAGGTATTTCCTTAAAGGTTTTCTACCTGTTACAACACATGTGACTTTGAAACTAGAACAAACCTTAGAGGTTATTTATTGAATCTTATTTTATGGCTAGAGAAACTGAATCCAAGAACGTGTATAGGGCTTGCCCAAGGAAACTATGTTAAGTAGCACAAAACCCTCTAGATCTTGAGGAACAAAACCAAACCCACAGTGTCCTTTTATTTTCTGCACTTTTAAAAAAATTTTAATGAGCAATATGAACAGGGGGCACAATTGCCTTGTTTTATAGTTGCCGTGTAGTTAGAGCGATGAAACTAATTAAAGAGGATTTTTTGGAATATTCTTATTTAGCTTATGTAGTATATTCAGAAGAAAAAGTTTTGGTTCAAAATGGTCTTGACATAGGACCCTCCCAAGGTTTTAAGAATAATTTTGGAACCATCTCTGGTTGCAAAAAGAAGCTGTTGTGAGGACCCATGTTGGGTACAAATGTGCCTGGCAATCTGAAGAGTGCTGTGAATTTGTGATCGTCTAGCACAGTGCTGGGCACATTTGAGTTGTTATGTAAATGTGACTTTTGTCTGCAGGACGTGGGGCACCTACCGCCAGAGCTCTGCCTGGATCATATGTAAAACCAAAGTATATACGATAGTGCTTTGCCTTGAATAGGGTCAGTGTTTGGCAGGTAGGGAGCTATGTTTCACAGGGAAAGCAATCTGTTAACATCTCATTGGAGATGAATGCCATCAACATAGAAAGGGCTCTGTCATTTCCACTGCAGGTGTATTCATTTGCCCCCCTCTTGGCTGATCTGGAAAACAGAATGGAGGCTCCCTTGTTTGTTAGCATCTTCAGCAGCACACAGCTCTTCTTAAGCAACATCACTGCCATCTGTTCCCAATGGCCTCTCCACATCTATTTCTGACCCTACCATATTAGCCAATGTGGAGGGAAAGTTGTCTAGATTTCTAAGAGATCTTGGAGTTCAAGAGTGTTGACCCAGGGACCTCTGGCAAGTAGGCAAGGTGTTTTTGCCTTCTGCTAGACCATTTCCTTTTGAAGTGCCACCACGTACAGGATAGGATCATCAATAAAAATAGTTCCCATGCTCTTGGAAACTCAATCTAACCTTGAGCCTTTGTTTTGAAAGATAATGGTATAATTTCTACATAAAACTGGGGACAAACCACTCTTAATTCCTTTTCCTCCCAGTCAGTTGTTTCAGCAAAATGATCCCCTTTCACTTTAACAAAAAGATTCTCTTTCTCGCTTAAAATATTCCGGATATGCTTTAACTTGCCTTGGGGTCATAGCACATGTCTTCCAGGACTGATGAGTCTTGTCAGTTGCCCCAGGGTGAGAACTTTAATAAGCAAATTGCACACACCTGGTTTTGCAAAATATTGGCCTAATGGGGCACCTAGGTGGAAGTCGGCACTTCCACTCCCTGTGAACACACCCTTCCTCCCCACCCCTTTTAAAAGGGAGGCCTCAGAAATTGCTGCCTCTCCATTTATCTTGTAAAACTTTCCTGTCTTTTTGCTCCCCTGTTGTGATCGTTAACGAGCTCAGGTTGTTGCTGTCGCTGCTGCTGTCTTTGGGATTTGAAAGTAATGCCCGTGATGGGATGTGGTATATATAGGGGGGAGTGTGGTTGAAAGGGAACAGGGCTGGCGAACTCTTTGTCAGACTGTGCGTCCCATGCCCTTCCCTTTGATTTGCTGCCACCACTGGTGTGACACAGCCTTTCCCTGCTCAGACTCTGCTTGGTAAGCTGAAAAAAGACAGCCTGTTTCCCTGCTTTTGAATGCTGGACACCAGGCATACTTGTCTTTCACTTTTATTCCTTCATTTGATTATTCATTCAAACATTTATTGAGCATTTGACTACTCGGTAGGCTTTGTGCTCAATAGGTGGCGATGACAGAAATTAAAGACTCAGATGCGGCCTTCTACAAGCTCGTAATCTAGTGTTTACATCTCTAGTAGCCAGCGGGTATATAACACGTTGCCATGCTTCAAATGGTGCATTGTAACGCATTTTATTTGGCTTCTGTGCTCGCTCTGATTGCCGAAGATCAATGCCCCCAAATGAACTTATTTGGATGTCTTCCTTGTCATCTGTTCTTTCAAACACATTGGGGTACCCAGGTGGCCAGGATGGAGGATTACTCCTTTATGAAGCTGCAACTAGCATTTATGTATAGGTATCTCCAGACCAACTGATGGTCATGACTATTTAAGTGCTTGAGGCTTTAGACTGAATTCCACTTTGATCTCATTCCAGCTGCCATCCTTCCAAAATACCTATAGGATTCTTAGATTAGGCTTTTTCAAAAAGCACTGTTTGACCTTTGAGTCACTAGTAATTGTTCTGTTAAAAGTTTATGAAATCTGGTGATATGTTTAGCTGTGTAGGTAGTGAGAACTTTGTACTATAGGGTTTGCCTGGCTTTGAATAGGCTATGAATGTACTTATTCTTCAAATCTGTTGTCAGCCTATGTTCCCCCATCATTTGCATGTATGTGCTTCAAAAATTCCAGTTATCAATTCAGCAACACTTACAGTACCTCTTCCAGGAACACTGCTGATCTAGTCTCTTGGTTTGGAAGTTTCCCACACATTTTTAGGGAAATTCTTTCATCCATTTCTAGGGTCCCTTTTTAGGCATTTAAAAAGCTAGCACACTACATAGCACATGAAACCACTCAACCAAGTATCATAACTACCTTCTGCAGCTCTTTCTCTATGTCTGTAACCATGGTTATGCATTTGCTTTATTATGCAGTTAGGCTAAATACCATTTGTGATGGGAAATATTTGAGACTTGTCCACACTCACCAGTGTGGGGGGAGTGTCTCAGGTTAGCCAAATATGTCTAGGTCAGAGGGCATATGCTTTGATATTGAATTCCAGAGGTCATTCCCTATCTTTGTCCTCTGCTTCAAAGCTCATGTCACTTGCATCATGCTGTGACATGAAACAATATTGCATCATAGGGAGTGCATAATGGAGTGTGTTGTCCAATTATCATGAGATTACCGAATATTTTTGCTTGGAAACTTGCCAGCAGTTGTGAACAAAGAGATACCCCAAGCCACTTTCTCACCTTTATTCTTGAAGACTAAATGGCATTCTCCATATCTCCTAGTTTCCCCTGTACCCGTCTGGCTGAGTAAAGAATTAGGCAAGTGTTTTTGTTAGTTTTTTGACAAAGAATATGGCTAGTATAGGAAATCAAGAGTTTGAGCTAATTTGATCAGAATTAAAGAGAAGTCAAAGGTGGAACAGAGACTACACCAGCTGGAAAGGGAGATGATCAATTTCTAGGAAATGAGAGACTGATATTTTTACAGTAATGAAGGAAAGTTCTTCCTAGAACAAAATTACTGAAGAAATAACAAAAAGAGGCAAAAACAAAAAACAAAAAAACAAACTAAAAAACCTCCCCAAAACCCATTATACATTCGCCTGGCACACAAATGAAGCCTGGGCTTTTTATTACGGTAAGTTCTGGTGCTTCTCGAAT